CGGGCGCGGAGGCTGCGCTGGCCCCGCAGGGACGGGAGCAGCGCCCGGGGGGCGCTCCGGCGGACACGCAGCAAGGCCGGTCGGCGCTGTCCCCCGCGCGCCCCTCACTAGGAACGCGCAAGCAGCACCGTTAGCAAACGGGCGTTATTAACGCACCCGAGTAATCCGCGTGTGCTTTTCAAAAAGCAGGTTTTGCACAACATGCTACTTGTCTGTTATCAAAAGTAATTAACTGCCAGCTGCTAGTGAAAAACATTAACGCAATTTTCCAGACTCCCGAGTTGCATCACCTCAATCAGGTGAGTTATAAACTACAACTCCCTTCTTCTAAAGTGCGAGCAGGTATCTGCTTCCCTCCAAACCAAACCAAACCCCTTCCTTTGGGCAGCAGCCCCTGCGGGAGGGCCAACCTTGAACAAGGCATCATTTTCTCTCATTTCTACAAATGATCTGGTCAGGCTTTAAAGGACATAATTTAATGTTTCCATTCAGGTTGGCAGCGCTAAGGCTTTCTGAAGAATGAAAGCTTTACACTCTCTGGGCTGTCACGCCAGCACCTACATCAACCACAGCTTCATTGGAAACATGCTAAAACAAACAAACAAACAAAAAAACATAAAAAAAACCCAACCAAGCAAATCAGGCCAAAAAACCCTGAGATAATTTTTGGTGCAGTGAGTTATAATGGAGACAAAAATGCTTTCCCAAAGGAAGCCCGAGGAGACAATGTTTTCAAAATTAAAACGAGACTTTTTACCACCAAGAAGTAAGGACTTTAAATGGCCCGAGCTGAGCTGCTGCTGCCTCCATGTGTCTAAAGTGAGATTCTACTGCTCTCCTCTGCATGGTGCAATGGAAGCTCAGAACGCAAGCGACTGCACAAATTTAACACCTGTAAATCACAGTATTTGCATGCAAAAAGAAACACGTGGCTCCCTTCTTCATAAACACCTTGCCAGGCCAAAAAAAACAACTTCTATGTCTTTGAAGTGCTGAAGGCATTGGTCCATTTAACAACTATGCTACGTTTTTCATAAAGGATAATAAATTATTTTATTGCATTTTGTTCTCTCTTAACAGATTCAACCACGTTATTCTCAATGGGATGCTTGAATATAGCACAACAGTACTTGCACAGTGTTTTAGTAATAAATAAAAACATTAATTACAGAAACTCCATTACCCCTAGAAAACTCGTTATTCTGCTTTTTGGTGACTTTGTTTGTTTGATCACATAGGATGAGCTCAGTGTCTGCTGTGCTAACACACAACGCACCATCTGCTGGCTGCAGTGCACAAGACCCTATTCCTATTTTACCGGTTGCCCTGATGTAACACACAGGTAAATTGACAAATGCAAAGGGAAGGAAATGAAAGTAGAAATAGAAAGTAGAAATTTAAAGGTTGTAACATAAGCAGATGCAGTGCTTCCGCTTTTAATGAGCAAGCTACACATTTGTTTTTTGCTTGACAGCATCAAGAACGAAGTTGTCTGGTTATTCAGGAAAGAGAACACGCTGGGTAAACGTGTTTCTTTGGGAATGTCCAGCTTTCAGCTGCATTTGGTAACCAGCAGGTTTGTGCGCTCAGCAGATCATTGCCTGGACAGCCCTAAACATTTTTGGAGAGAAAAAAAGAAAATAAAAAAGACCTTATGGAGGTTGTTGCAATACATTCAGACTGGTTGTTAGTGTTTTCTAAGCCAAAATGTGATGATTATTATTTCAAAAAATGAAGATAGCAGAGGTGGAAAAAGGATGTAATTAGGAAATCTGCTTGTGAACTAACAGCAATAGTATTTTTGTTACGTGCAAAATTACGATTTTATTCAGCTGGGAAAAGTTTGTTATAGTAATCATGCAGAAATCTGCAAACATTTCATTACAATAAAGCAGCTAGTATAAACATGACAATATTATGTCAGCTTTTTTATATATATATATAAAATCCAAAGCTCCAGAACTTTTTTTTTCTTGGCAGCACCACTAAAGTTATTCTGGATGAAATCTTGACCTTCTCAAAATTCAGTGGCACTGCTGGAATCCTGGCTCTGGCGAGGTTGGTGGCACCCATACTACCCACGGCACTCCAGACCCACAGGAAATCTATTTGGACAACTTCTGACCATCCAAAAATGGTAAGAAAAACAGTCTATTCAATACATTTTTTTCTATAGAAAAATACTAAATTGGTAAAGTGTCTTATTCTGAGATACAACATCTGGTCAAAATGGGAGGCAAATGCATGCCAGAACAGTTGGTGATGAGGAGCAGGCCAAGCACATGAACCAGGTTTGAAGCATTTATACTGGCTGCAAACTATGTTCTGGAAAATGGGTGGAAACCAACACTACTGGCAGCTCAAAATTTCTCATAAATCTGAGATTTTCATACCCAAGTTCACACTCCACTACTTCTAGGAAAAACAAAAAACAAAACAAAAACAAACAACCAACACAACCCAGGGAAGACAGAGCCTCAAGGACATAGTTAGCAATAAACACTTTGCTAATAAGAAAAAAACACTATTTTGCTTCAGTTGGTTTCAAGCACTGCCTTCCACCCAAACTGAACAGAAAAATAGAATATTAGTTACAAGCCCTCTCTCTGCCAATCCATAGAAAATGATACCGTGCTATGGACACAGGCTTCCTGGAAAAAAAAAAAAAAAAAAGATTAGCGGGCAGACTGCAGGCGGAACAGTCAAAAATGCAATTTTTTAGGCAAGTACCTGTGCGCGTAAGTCTAATATATAGAAACCTCTCATAAAAGCAGACTATTTTCAATAATGTTTTGCTGTGTTTTTTCATCAGTCAATCAATTTTAATCAATCCAAAAGCACTAACACTTACTACAAGCAGAACTTGTATACTTTCCTCAAATTTAGCAAACATAACAAAGAGACAGTAAGTCAAAGGAACAAGTGTTACATACTTGTCAGTATATAATATATTGGCATATAATAATCAATATACTGAATTCTGAAGTCTTTTACAATGTAAATAGTTAAAATTGCTGGTGGAAAAATGCAACGCTGATTTTCTTGAATTAGCTAGACTGTAATTCATGGTCTATACTTAAAAATGAACTAATGCAGCAAAACTTACTGAATTATATGTTTGTTTTTAAATTGTATCAGTAAGTATTATGTATACTGACAAGAAACCAAATTAAGTTTGGGACTATAAACAAAGCGGCTGCAAACAACACTTTCAAAACCATTCGGAATTTATTTTTGTGATGTTAAGTTTCTAACCTGATATTTTAACAGATATCTGCATGTAGGCATATATACATGTCACCACTGAAACCAAGGGAAGAGTAAGTGATCTTTATCTGAAAAACCTAGAAGACTTTGCAAGAAGAAATGTCTGACATGAAGATTTGCATGTCTATTTCAAAACTGTCTGATATCGTCCATCTCAGAAGGTTTCACTTTTGTAGAGATTTCTCAATAAGCTTTTAAATAACTATTGTACACTTAAAGTCATCCGTAGCTCATCAAGAGATGAATGTTAAATGTAATTCATAAACTTAAATTACTACCTTTCAGTTTTAATGTTATACGCAACAAAGAGATATCTATATGTGAGCACTTTATTAAAAAAGAAAGAAACCAAAGGTGAGCCCATTCTATTTTTGTGTTAAATTGCATGGCTGACTGGAAACTAGTATTATTCTAGTTCAGAAGCACCAGAATAGTTTCAAGATTTAAGAGAAGAAATTCTTAATCTGTTTTTGTTATCACTGTAATTAAAAAGTAATGGCAAACAGCTGAGATTATATATATTTTTTGTTAGAGATCCAGATTTCCTCATCCTTTCATTAAAGGCTTACATGCAATTTCTCTGCTTTCAAAAAGATATAAAAACTCAGGAATTAGAAACCTGTTATTCCTTATTCTTGTAGGATTAACAAAAATAAGTATGGAGAAAAGAGGGAGAAGGCGAGTAAGACTACTCACCTCTGCCAGTCTGTGCTAATTTCACTCTATGTACACAATCTTAAACAGGCAAGAAAAGATACAGACCAATTTTTTTTTTCTCTTTAAGCTTAATCACTGCCATTTAAGGTTGCACAATAACAATGTATCTAAGAACGTTTCCTTAGAAAATATACAAGCTTGGGTCCGCAATTATCTTATAGAAATGCATATTCAGTTTTGTTCCTCTCCTAAAGCTGCCTTTAAGGCTTTTTTTTTTTTCCCCCCCTTTTTGACCCTGACATTCTTTAGCTCCAAACGCACACAAAGCGAAGAACAAGGACTCATCACAAACTTTGAAGACTTGGTACACTATATGAGACTGTCGTACTGTGAGAAAGAAAAGGGCTGGAATTTCCTGCCATTTTTGATGTTTGCACATTAAATAATACATTCAGTATTATGTATATTCAACCACTTACTAAAATCTTAAAATAAAAGGTAGTACATTGGTATTTAAATAACATTGCACCCATTGGCTTCCCACTGTGTGCAGCCCTACGTCTCTGATCCTTTCCCACAGTGAGCTGCAGTGTCCTGGGATATATAGGAAGGGCCCCCTGCATAATTCCCTCTCCTCTTGCACAAGAGCACCCTTTGAGTTCTTCTATCCCACAAATATTTCCAAAAATCCATGGATTGCCTGTATTTGTTTTATACCAAAGAAGAGGTAAGCAGAAGGTCCACTGCATGCTGCAGCATACTGCATATATATATATAACATAGGAGAAAGATTTTGTACAATGCCATTTGGAGACACTTCTGGGACAACATGACTTTTACCCAGAACCATTTTTTCGAAATGTCAGCTCTTCTTGTGCCAGAATCATTATTTAAAGGCAATTAAGGAAGAGTTGAGGATTTTAAAAGAAGCAGCAGGCAAAAATAGGGTGAAGAACCCCATAACTTTCAGACCAGGATATTTGCACACACATACACAACAACTATATGCAGGCTAAGCATTACCAAAGGACTAAACACTGATACATTCAGTATAATCCAAAGTTCAAGTCAACTACCTTCAATGCTCTGCGGACCCACCAGGTTCATAGCCTGGTGTGCTGGATACTCCACTCGGGGTCTGGCAATGCCCAGCTGCTCCATAACTCCATGGAGGAGCCTCTGGATATCTCCTTCGGAAACCCTATCAGGGCTCCGAGGGCTGTGACTAAAAGCTGAAGCCAATCCAAGCAACAGCAGAAACGCCAGGTTGCAAAGCAAAGGAGTTGCCATTCTCGTCACCTGCAAAGAAGAAAAGAATTGGGTTATAGTAGCAAAGGCTCTGGAAGTAGCTTGGCTGGTCTTGCTGTGATAAAACACCCCAGAGCTCCTGGGGTCTGCAGGAAAAGTGCAGGGTGGGAGAGATCGAAGCGGGGAAGCTCTTGCTTTCAAAAAGACAGGGGAGCAGGGGGAGGTTACCGAGAGCCCTTTGGGTGATTCACGTTTGCTCGCAGCACCCATTAACCAGCCCCTGCAAACAAAATGGATCCGCTGCCTCACTTAATGAAACACATCTCCCTCCACCTCATTTAACATATTATTTTAGACAGGTCTGTGTTGAACGCAGGGAACTCTTTGGATGGAAGCTATTTTCCAAGCTATGTTCCTGCACTTAGAAATGAAGTACCAGAAACTGCTAAAGAAGATGCATGATATGTTTATTTCTCCCTTAGGATGTTATGTGCCATTCAGGCATCGTCCTCCCCACCTGCAGGAACTAGGTTTCGTGTGCTCCCCTTGAAAACCTTTCACTAAATGGTTGCTCTGTGTACTTAAAGCGGACACAAAATCTGACAACCATTTTTTTTTCTATTTTTTACAAGGCTTAATTTTAATTGGGATCCTTCCTGACAGCTTGTTTTCCCTTAATGCCATAGGATAATACATACATACATCTATTTCTCCCCCCGCCTCCTCTCCAAACAAACACCAAACAAACCCCCATCCCCTCCATTTTCTTGCTCACACAGCATGCGCATCCCCCTTCTTTGCCGGGGCCAGCCATTTAGGGATGCTCCACCACAAGCACCACCTCGCAGGAGGCACCCCTAAACACTCAGGGCAAAACCATAAGGAAAAAAAAATCCTCTTAAAGACAAGGCTTAGTCCCCATCACTTACGCCATGCATCCCTGCCTTCTCCTCCTCCGCAGGAGACACATACCTGCGCTTGGGCTGAACCAACCATCTTTGGGGCTTAGAGAGAGAAAACAATGTGTATTTTTTTTTCCTCTCTCCCTTTTTAACCCAGTATCAGTCAATATAAACAAACCGGACGGCGGCTGCCTGCGCGCCCCAGCCCGCACCTGCCCACGGCACCG